CAGATAGATCATTAAAATTTGATGCAAAACACAAGTTATTAAGTGGAATAAGTCTTCCGATAGGAAGTGGATTTTTTCTCGTTTTGTAATGATTTATTTCAATTTGTATTTCTCACATATATTTCTAAATAAAATTTAATATTTTTAAAATAAATTATCAATAATTAAAAATTATCTTGCGTGAATTTTTTCATAAATAAAAAATATAATTGATATGTTCAAAAATATTTATTTATATAAATTTAAAAATAATATATATATATATTTAAATAAATAATATATATAATTTACTATAAATTTTATTTAATAATAAACATTTAGATTATGTAGTGTGCAAGTAAAATACTAATTCTTTTAAACCATAAAAATAATTAATATTTAAAGAGTTTATTAACCATGATAAAATATTTAATATTGTCAATTAATTAGAAATTAAATTTTTATATAATTTTAAAAATAATTATTATAAAAATTAATAAAATTATGAGAAATGACACTAGGTGATTGAATACAATTGAATATCTAAATGTTGTATTTATTAAGTTAAACAATTAATTAAGGAAGTTGAATAGAAGTAATGATAATTAATACAAATACGAAACTAAAATTAAGATTAAATTACACATTTAATATTTGGTTCACTTCTATTTTACTTATATAAGATGATGTTTTGTTATAAATTTTTCAATGATTAAACAAGTTCTATTTAAATACTATTTGCATGAGTTATAAATAGTTAAACTTAAGGAGTAAATATGTTTCAAATTTTTATGTAAATCCGGTAATATCTCTACTATATAGATTTTTACAACCCCTTGGACAACTTGGGCATCAAAGACATTAATGCTCTAATTTGAGAGGAGTGTTGATATGAACTTTAAATAGTTAAATTTAAATGGTATATTTGTTTCTATCTTTTAATGTAAATCCGAAAGTATTTCCACTATTTGGAAAATTGTATTTTATTTCCTTATATAAATTAGTCATAGGTGTTTAAGGAAAATAAATTGTGCAACGTCTCTATTAATATTAGAGATTATTTTCAAAATGATATAATGAAATATGAAAAGAGCCGATTTTCCTATCTATTTTGTTTAACAAATACTTCATAAAATAAAAAGTATTTTAATCGCAATGTGAACTCCACCTATTTCATGTAAGTTAGCATAAACAAAATATAAATCTAAGTTTTATCTAATAAAACACTTTGGCAAGCCTCAACTGTAACAGCCCAATTTTAACTGGGCCGTGGGCCCAATTCGTTGCTCGGAACGGGCCGTTTCAAAAGTGAAACAGGCCGTTTTGGAATAAAGAAATTAGGGATGGCAAAACGGGCTAGCCGGCCCGTTTTGGCCCGACCCGCCATTGGCCCGCCAAAAACGGGACGGGCCGGGCTGGCCCGCCAATGTAAAACGGACTGGAGATGCTGGCCCGCCCCGCCTAAGATCGGGCTGGCGGGCTGGCGGGCCGGCCGCTTACAAAAAATAAAAATTAAAAAAAAATGGAAAAAAAAATATTTTATGGTCAAATAAAAAAAATTGCTACAAATAAATAAATATAACCATATGAAATTAAAAATGCATACATATTGTACATAATATATGTTCAACAAAAACAAATTACAAACTTAAAACAAAATCAAATAGAAATTAGTCCATTTACACCAAAATCAAAACCAAATTATAAACTTACAAATTATTTATAAACTAAATTTTTTGATAGTCCACAAAACAAGTTTAAATACAATTAATTAACTTTAAATTTTTATTTAAAGAATATTAGAAGCTCTCTTGAAAGAAGTTGTCTCTACTTTTTTTCTTAATCATCTTCATCCTCATCTTCTACATCAAAATAAAATAAACATAAAAATAATTAAATTAAAAAATATATATATGCGGGCCGACGGGTTGTGGCGGGCCGGCCCGCTATTTGGCCCGGCGGGTTGGCGGGCTTGGTAGGGCGGGCTTGACGGGTTGGCGGGTTGAAATAGTTGGTCCGGCCCGCCAATTTTTGGTGGGCCAACGGGCCGGCCCGCGGGCCATGGCCCACTTTGCCATCCCTAAAAGAAATTGCCTAAAAAACGTAGTTGAGAACGGGCCGTTCTGGTTGGAGAACGGGCCGTTCTGGATGAGTCCCGGAACAGGCTGTTCTGGTTTTGGAACGGGCCGTTCCAGTGCAAAAACTTGCGTAGCTTTTTCGGGCCTAGAACGGGCGTTCCACTTTTGGAACGGGTCGTTCCGGGTTAGGTGAGGCAGATTCTTATAAATAGGAGACCTCACCTCTCATTTTCTCAAATTTCTCATTCTCTCTTCCTATTCTCTTCTGTTCTCTCTTCTTTCCCTCTTCTTCTCTCTGAAGACCAAGGGATACTTAGAGGAGGAGACCAAGAGATCCCTATTTTAGTTCAACTGTTGTTTATCCAGGTACAGGGGAAAAAAAGATTATTTATATGTAGAGTTACATGAGGGAATTGGGTAGAGGAAGAATCCTTTAGGATTATGAGTAATTTTATAATTATTTCTATTTGGAGAATTATTAGTTCAATTAAGAATTATATATTGAGGTTTATGAATATGCTAATTTGTTAGAATGATGATCTGGGAGAGAGAACGAAATCGTAGAAAAGTGCTGGTGAGCTAGGTTTTAGAATAATTAGGGGTTTTACTGTTTATGTTGATAATTCCATTGATTATTATTACATTTATGAATGTTATATTAAATTGGTTATTCTATTAATTTAATATTGTATTAAACTGGGGAATTAATTGAGTTTCATATTATTGTTATATTATTGTTATAATGAGTATTCATGGTGAATTGCTTGATGGGTATGTGAATCGTTACATTGTGTGAACTTATCAGTATGTAGTATAGAATTGTGATATGAGATGAGATGTTGTGTGGATATGATTATGATTGTGACTGTGGTACCTCACACTAATGACTAGGGATGAGACGAATCCTGGGAGGTGATGCTTCAGGGATGAGCGTGCCCCTGGCATGGTGTCAGATGAGTTAGACAATTAACACGCATCACTTATGTCAAATATAGCAGTCCTGACATAGAGTTAATTGCAAGAGATTGTGTGGATTGTAATGTGATTGTGGTTCCTCGCACTAATGACCAGGGATGATACGAACCTTGGGTAAGTGATGCTACAAGGACGAGCGTACCCCTAGCATGGTGTGGGATGAGTGAGGCAATTAACACGTATCACTTGTGTTAGTTGTGGCGTGGTCTTGACATAGTGTTAATTGTAAGATTTATGTGGATTGTGATAGATTGATGTGATTATGATTGTGATGTGATTGTGGTTCCTCACATTATGACTAGGGGTGGCACGACCTTGGGCAAGAGATGCTATAGGCGTGACCTTGGCATAGGGTTGATTGCAAGATTTGTGATGATTGTTATGATTGCGAATTGTGACGTGATGATGATGCGCGATTGATAAAGTTATGATACATTGAAATGTTTATGAATATTTTGTTAAGTATCGAATTATAATGAGATGACATGTTGTGTGTTTGCATGTACTTTATATATAGATGTTTTCTTTTCTCACCGTACAATTTTGTGGATGTTTTAGGTGAATAAGATCCGGTTGCGAGTGACATCTAGAATGCCAACAGTTAAATTAGGGGTATGCTCTGATATTGTGACATCGGGACAGAGGACTTTTAGGACAGAATTTTTATATGGATTTGGAATTGTAAATATCATTTTGAAAATAATTTGTAAACTCTTGCGTTTCATTTTCTAAATCTTTATTATTGTGGTTATTGAAGAACGATTTTTGAAGTTTCTCATGTGAACCCTTTTACCGAAATTTTAAACATTTATTTATAAAGTTACAATATATGTGTTGGGGTAGTAAGGGTGTCACATCAACACCTTACCAAGGTGTATAAAAAGACACTTTCATATGTTTATGAACACCAATAAATACAAAAAGATCGGGAGTTGACATTCCGATTAAAATGCTCTTAGCTTTATAAAGTGTTTTAAGTAAAACTTGATTCATACTAGTTGGACTGTTCATGAAACAAAAATCATCTTACCAAGCTTTGAAGTTTTTGCTAAGTTGTGATTAACAATACTTCTCACATTTTAAAAAATATTTACAAAATCATTATAAAACACAACTTATTTTCTTGTGTTAATTTATAAGTCATACATAACTTATTTTAATAATTATGTTATTAATGTAAAACATTTACTAATTGTGTGATGATCAAATTATGTTAAAAGAGCATGTTACTATTAATATCTTTCATCTTAATTATGTTTTTAATAAAAATGAATTCAATTCTATTCAAATTAACGAATTATTGATACCCATTTTTACTTGTTTATCTATTTATAAAATAAGAATTTTTGAATTAATTTTTTTATAAAAGCCCCCTAACTAAATATATTTTTAATAGATTCTTAGTTAAATAAACCAAATATCTAACGTACTAGTCGAATCTACATAACATAAGCAAGATTTGACCTAATTAATTTATGATTTGTTTGTTTGGTAGTGAAAAAAGCTGAAGCATTTATGTTATGATTACAATTCACAAATGTAAGAGAAGAAATAATCAGCCATGCCTAACATGGGACCCTCTCAAGTTGTATTGTACAACAAACCTCCCCAATTAGAGCTTCTACTAGGACTAGGACACTCTATACACCTGTAGGACTTAGGTACATTAAGTCATTAACATTAAGATCAACATTACTACACTTTTTTTTTAATGAAATGATACACATAATTTCAAACTTAACAATTAAACATTAATTTCTACTAACAAAATATTACTTTAACACAAAAAAAAAAATCGAATTTAAATGTACTAAGTTTGCTCCTTATCTTAGAAAGATGTTAGAAGCACTCTATGAATAGATAAACATTACTACACGTTTCGTATACTCATGGCTATACCTGCTATCACTGTCGTGTGTGTAATTTAATGTAGTATTGTGTGAGTCTCTGCAGCACAACACCATGTGTTAATGTTGTGTACAGCACACACACAACATAACATAAATCATAGTAAATGTTTTTTTTTTTTTTTGTGCCATTAGATTACAGAGAAAAGAAAAAAAGAGTGGTAGTACTAGTAGGTGGTAGGAGGTGTAGTTAATAGCAATAGCAATTGCAATACTTGCTTGCCACTGTCACACACACTGCTCCTTCTCATCCTTCTCGTGATTACCATTTCAACCTTTTCTGTTTTCTCTTTCCTCACTCACTCACTCACCTTTTGCTTTTCCTTCTCTCTCTGTCTCTTTCAACTTCAAACTTCAAACCCTAGCCATAGTCTTTTGAATCTTCCATGCTCCTCTTCTCTGAGTTACTTTGCATATGTTACGGTTTTGGGGTCTTTCAATTTTCCTTCACACTGGGCTTTTGGGGTGGTTTCAGGTAATGTTTGTCCCTTTTTGTTCAACCCTTTTTTTTTTTGTTTCTTTAATTAATTATTGCCTTGATTTTAGGGGTGGTTGCCGTTGCTGGATTTGTTTGCTTGAATCTGCAAGTTTTTTTTTTTTCCCTTGGATGATGATGGTTTTGCAATTTGATTGTAATTTGTGAAGCTCAAACTGGTTTTTTTAGCTCTTCTTTCAAATTTGATCCATGGGGAGGAAAATTGGTGAATGTATTTATGCTTTTTATGTTTATTTAATTTTACTTATTTTCTTAGTTTTTCTTTGTGAATTCTCTCTTTCGTTGAGTTTCCTTCTTCGTCTCCACCTGGCTTTGAATCCAGGGTTGCTTTTGGACAATTTTAACTTTAATTCTGATACTAATTCTGTGTTTTGGGTTGAGCTTTGAATTTTTGATCCCTTCTTTTTTCCCTGATATCTACTCTCACCTGTGTTTACTACTCTTTACAAAATCATGAAAAGTATCTCACTTTCACATTCACATCATCAAACACTAAATCTGAACATAAAGGGGCTCTCCATGGTTGCTCTCCATCAGGGATGTAAATGCTGGGGGATGGCCTAGTGTTTGGCCTCAGGTTAGAACATCAGAGAGGAACAGATGTAGGGATGAGTAATGGCAAAGCAAAAATAAAAATAAATAGGAAGATGGGGGTGGGGGAAGAAATGAATTGTCATTTTTACAATAGTGGTAAAAATGTGTTAGTCTTTTCAAATTATAAGGATATGTGTTTATTAATTTGTTTTAGGAGTGATTAGGTGAGGTGAAGGTCCACTTCAGTTTGTCTGGAAAGTTGCTGTTTGAACGCATGTGTCTTTTGTTTTTCCTTGTTTTTGTATCTACACAAAGTATTTTAATATTTTCCTAACTTCTAATAAATATTCATGTTGATTTCATGGATAGATACTAATACATTGAAGTAAATGTCTTCATTCGGACCAGAATTCTTGTCTTTTCCAATCTAAAATATTAATGCTAAAATTTCAGGTTTCAATGTTATAAGCAATAAAGGGATTCAAGGCAACCAACCAAATCTGTTGAGAACTATGACTGAAGAGAAATCTGGAGGATTCCCTTTGCGGTTGTTTACTTCTGTGCATTTCTCTTTGTGACTCACTTTTAGAATTGGTCTAAAATTGCATTGCCCTTTCGTTTGTCAATTTATTAAATATGGATAGCTCTGGTAATACATGTGAGATAATGGAATCAAGGGAAGAGATAATTTCTGAGTTCAAAATGGATGAAAAACCTGAGAGTAGTTGTGCCCACAAATCAGGAAAAAGGTATTCAATTGAAGATGACATTAATCGGCTTTTCCAGGCAATTGACATTAAAAGTTCATCTAGAGGTGTTAGTTCATCACGTTTACAAAAGAGTGCTCTCAAAAGGCCAATAAAAGTCAGTTCATCTCAGGCATCGGGAATTGGCATCTCAGAGCCTGTAAGTTTAAAGCAGGCTCTAAGAGGGTTGTGCATCTCTCAGGCCTCAGAAATGGCTGCTTTGAAGAGACTGTCTAAGCCATGCAGTTCATCTAGAGTATCAGAGGCAGGCACCATCAAAAGGTTGTACACAGCAGTGGTAGATGAGGGGAAAGGGAACTTGGTTGAAATTTCTCTGGTGCCAGAGATATCTGCACCTTCTGATAAATTGCCCAGTGTAACAATATCAAGTTCAAGCAATAATCATTCTAGTCCTTTGGTTGATGCCGCAAAACCAAAAGAAATGATAACTGGGTTTTCATCCCCAGATCAGATTGTCCCTCTACCATTAGAGGTTGTGGGTGAGAAACCAATCATGGGGATTGGAAATCCAATTCTTGCAAATTTGTCACCAGTTGCCTCTGCAAGTGAAGAAGTGACAGAGGTCAGAATGGATCCTGCTTCCTCAAGCAAAGCTTCTCTTGGTTCTTCACTACCAGATAAAGGGCAGGAAGCAAATATACCTTCTGCATCTTGTCAACCTAGCTCTAGCACTGGTAATGTAGTGGATAAATCCACAAGTGGTAATACATGTTTGTCAAAACCAAGATTCAATAACTTGAACTTCCTTAAGAAAAGAGTAAAGCAAGATTTAAGTTCTGCCTCAAGCTGCTCCACTCCATGTATAAGAAATGATCTGGGTTCTAGTACAAGTAATTTGGACAAGGAAGTAGGCAATTCTGATTCAAAGCATGAAGCGAAAGAAAATGAGAAACTGTCTCCTAACAGTTCAAATCATAGCATTGAAGTTAACTCAATTAATGTTGTTACAGAGTCAAGCAAATCTGGTTTCAGCTTGAATTGCAATAAGAGAGCCAAGTTTCTGGTGACAAAAGTTGATGAGAAATCAAGATCAAAGGAAAAGGGTGAGTTCTCTCAAAGCTCAAAAAGCAGCATTGGTGAGTATAGTAGTAGCACAAGCATCAGTGAGGAAAGCAGTCTAAGTGGTTCCAGTCGCGGTGGCCACAGACCTCACATGTCGAAACACTTGAGATGGGAAGCTGTTCGTGCTGTTCAGCAGCAACATGGTAGTTTAAATTTGAAGCATTTTAAGCTGATAAGGAGGCTTGGTAGTGGGGACATTGGAACTGTTTATCTTGCAGAACTAATCGGTACAGGCTGCCTTTTTGCACTCAAAGTGATGGACAATGAATTTTTGGCAAGTAGGAAGAAAATGTTCAGGGCCCAAACTGAAAGAGAGATCCTTCAGATGCTGGATCATCCATTTCTTCCTACGCTGTATTCCCATATTGCAACCGATAAGCTCTCTTGCTTAGTTATGGAGTATTGTCCAGGTGGAGATCTGCATGTGCTGCGACAGAGGCAACCATACAAGAGTTTCTCGGAACAAGCAACTAGGTAGGAGTTGTGGACTTTTCCAAAAAATATTTGGATCAATGTTGCCTGGATTCTTTATTCTGGTTATTTCTGTTTTTAAATTCAATCTTGTCTTCTTAGAGTAAGTTCATTAGTTTTTTCTTTTTTAAACCAAAGATATTAGCTATGTTCAAGAACATCAGTGGATCTTTTTTTAATTTATTGGGTTGTAGCATTCATTTATAAGTTCAGCTATCATTTTATGTTTGATGTTATGCACCAAATTAGAAAAGTTAAGTTCAAATCTCAGGATAATGGAAGTGAGGTATGTTAGATTTCACCTTAAAATCAATTGGCATCAAGTGAAGTTGCCTAATAAATATATTAGCTACACCCCGTGAATTGAGGCAGGCAATTGCTAGACCAGGCAATGCCTTCAAGAATAGGCAAATCACGAAGATGGGTTATAGACTCTGATACCATGTTATATTCCATTTTATAACCGTAGGAATCCCCAAGAGAACTGAATCAAATAGCAGTCTTTGAAATAGTCTTGAGTAATATACCAAAATGTCTTGTTTAGCCTGCAACTAAGCAAGATGTGGATCAAGTTTACTAGGTATATTTTATATAATTTAAACATCTTATACATGCTCTTTCCACTATGTATCATTCTTATTCAAGTGTAAATGCTGTGTTGTCTTATTCTCACTTTACCAGAAATAGATTCCTGACATGATCTAGGACAAGTGGATAAGTTTTTTTCACACATTTTCTTCACTACAGTCATGCCATTACATTTGCAGGTTTTATGTTGCTGAGGTTCTTCTTGCCCTGGAGTATTTGCACATGCTGGGAGTTGTATATCGAGATCTAAAGCCAGAAAATATACTAGTACGAGAGGATGGTCACATTATGCTGACAGACTTTGACTTGTCACTCAGGTGTTCTGTCAATCCAATGTTAGTCAAGTCATCTTCGCCTCACACAGATGCCACAAAAAAGTCATCCAGTCCCTGTTCTGAGGCTAGCTGCATACACCCTTTCTGTCTCCAACCAGATTGGCAAGTTTCCTGCTTTACTCCCATCCTATTATCTGCTGGAGCAAAATCTCGAAAGATGAAGGCTGACATAGCTGCTCAGGTTGGTCCACTGCCACAGCTTGTAGTGGAGCCTACCAGTGCACGGTCTAACTCCTTTGTTGGAACCTATGAATATCTTGCTCCAGAGATTATTAAAGGTGAGGGTCATGGGAGTGCTGTAGATTGGTGGACTTTTGGTATATTTTTGTTTGAGCTTTTATATGGTAAGACTCCCTTCAAGGGCCAATCAAATGAGGATACATTAGCCAATGTTGTGTCACAAAGCCTCAAGTTCCCGGGTACTCCAATAGTCAGTTTTCATGCGAGAGATTTGATCAGAGGTTTGTTGTTAAAGGATCCGGAAAATCGATTAGGTTCTGTAAAAGGTGCTGCTGAAATAAAGCAGCACCCCTTCTTTGAAGGCCTCAACTGGGCACTAATACGGTGTGCTGCACCTCCAGAGCTCCCCAAGTTTCGGGATTTTGGAAGTAGTGCTCCATTTATGGCTGCACAGAAGGAGAATGCAAATGATTTAGAGTATATAGAAGATTGTGAAGAGTTTGAGCTGTTTTAATTAGACTTGTCTTCTCTGCCCTTTCCAC